TATAAATTCCAAAATTTCTAGGTTATACACATTTATTCTTGCAAATAAATCTTGCAAATAAATCTTGCAAATAAATCTATTTATTTATTTATTTATTATTTATTTATGTTCTAAAATAATATTCCATTGGTATTCCACTAAGATTTTTATTAAAATTATATTAAATCTGGGGCACCTAATGGCTCAGTCAGTTAAGCATCCAGCTCTTAATTACAGCTCAGGTCATGATCTCACATTCATGAAATCAAGCCCCATATCAGGCTCCATGCTGGGAGACTGCTTAAGATTCTCTCTCTCTCCCTCTCTCAAAAAAAAAAAAAAAAAATGTATTAAATCAATAAGATAAAATAAATTTGCCATATTTACAATATAGAGTTTTCCCATGTGGAAATACTGTTTCTTTTGTCCCCTCTTTATTCAGGATTTCTTTCATTATAGTGTTTTTTCATATTATTTTCACACATTTTTATACTTTTGTTACTATTCTGAATGGCCCTTTTTAAATCATATCTTTTGATTGGTAACTCCTATTGATGTCTTAACATTTACCTACAATTCAGCAACCTTACTAAACTCCCATATTAGTTCTTTTTTTTAGAGTTTCTTCCTATGAATTTCTAAGTAGACAATATTTTCACCTGAAAATTATGATAATTTTCTTTCTTCTTAATATTTATATTTCATATTTCCTTTTCTTGACTGTTCTAGGACCTCTAGAACAGTACTATTAAAGGACAGCACTGATATCAAGTATTTCTTTTCATCTATAAAAATTGAGCCCTGCCCAGGTCTCCTTTTGCCTCACTCCATCTAGGTTAAGTACTCTTATTCCATATTCTTGTCATTCTGCAGCCAGGTCTATTGTAGCATGAGTCACATGGAAATACAATCATTTATGAGCTAAGTATTTGTGTATTCTATGAGCTCTTAAGACATGACAGCCTCTTCATTCTTATAGACCTACCAGATAACCCAGTACTAGTACATAATAGTGGTTCAGCTAGTCTGTTTTCTTGCTTACCATTTCTCTCCATTTAGTTCTCACTCCATATTCTAAAAGAGGTGGAAATTCTATTGATTTTACTCAAATTCTGTTAGATTTCTTCCTGAATCTCTGCCCTTATTACTTCTCTCTTTATTCATGCTCCCATTTTCCCTCACCTGGAACAAGGTTTTTCTAACTTAAATAAAAGATGAGTCTCTTTCAAAGAAAAAAATTCTATTAATCTTACTGTCAAATCAACTTTTTATGATTTTGCTTAAAAACATACAAACAATATTTGGTAAAATTCCTTACACTTATAGTTCTTATACAAATTTAAAGCCAAAACAAATTTATACATTAAATAGTTTTATAATCAGTAGAATTAAAATTACTAAATTGGCTTAAAGTGACAGTACCGTTTTGCTGAAATTAACATGCCAATTTTGAATTAAAAATGTAAAGATGTATGGGGCATCTGGGTGGCTCAGTTGGTTAAGCATCTGATTTCAGCTCAGTTCATGATCTCATGGTTCGTGAGTTCAAGCCCTGCATTGGGCTCTGTGCTGACAGCTCAGAGCCTGGAGCCTGTTTCAGATTCTGTGTCCCTGCTTTCTCTGCCCCCTGCCTTTCAAAAATAAACAAACATTTTAAAAAATATTTTAAGTGTAAAGATGCACAGGTAAATCTACTTATATATAATCTATCTCTGTGTATTTACTTCTGTGACTCTCAAATGGAGACTATCCCTTAGAATAAGAAAGTTTCAGAGTGTAATTTCGATAACTCAAGGCTTTCTGTGATATTTCAGAATACTCAGACTTCATACTTTAGCTGAACTCTGGCACTATGCAATTCCCAAATGTCAATTTTAATGAGATGTCATTTGATAACTCAGTAAGCCTTACTTGTTCATTTGAAGTAAAGTTAGCATGGGACAGTTATTGAAATCTGCATTATGGGGATGTGTAAAATCAGATGCAAAAAAATTTCTTTATCACATTTACTTTTATATTAACTGCTCACCAGTGATGCAAGTTGGTACAATTAAGACCTGGCTATGCTTATTGATGCTCTAGTGAAGGTTCTTTTAAGGTAGATATGCCAATACTGCTGAGCCCTGTCTGATAACTCATTTTTCTCATCCCATTTTTCTTTTTGAAACTGGTATACTCCATAGGACTTTGTTTATTCGGTGTGCCATATCAAAGGAAAAGAATTTTTTAAGTACTGAGATGGAGCTGTTTTTTATTCTTGCAATAGAGTGTACTGTAAGGAAGTCCCCCTTCCATATTGACTAGCTCTCAGGATGAAGAAGGTTATATTTATAACATGAAATGACAGTCAAATTTTCTGGTTAAATCATATTTTGGTCAATTTTTATTTAAAAACAATAGAAGTTTCTGTCTTTGATAAAATTTTTTCTCAGAATAGTAAGTTTTTAGGTTGGTCCTTCGACTCATGACTTACCACTCAGAATGCAAAACTTTTAAACCTGTAAATGTTTTCTTAATTCTTAAGATCAATTTCAAATGCCACCCCTGTATGAAATCTCTGTACCAAAAGTGGTCATTCCTTGGACACCACAGAGCTCAGTTCCTATCTCTACTTATACAGTTGGAACTAAAATTTTATTTTCTTCCTTAACATGCTGTTGTCACCCAATTCTGTCAGGTCTCTGAATGAAGAGACAGTATATCTGTATACCCAATACAAGTTCAGAATCTGCAGTGTCCCCCCTTATCCATGGGGAATATATTCTAAGACCCCTAGTGGATACCTGAAATCATGGTTAGTACCAAACCAGTGCATACTATGCTTTTTTTCTACACAAACATACGTATGATGATGTTTAATTTACAAATTAGGCAAAGTAAGAGGTGAATAGAAATAATGAAAAATAAAATGGAACTATTACACCAATGTATTGAAATAAAAGTTATGTGAATGTGTTCTGTCTCTCTCAATATCCTATTGCACTTTATTCATTCCCTTCTTGTAATGATGTGAGATGATAAAATGCCTACATGATAAGATAAAGTGAGGTGAATGACGTAAGCATTGTGACACAGTGTTAGGCTACACCTGACCTTCTGACCATCTTGTAGAAGGAGAATCATCTGCTTTCAGACTGCAGTTTACTGTAGGTAACTAAAATTATGAAAAGTGAAACTGTGATCAGAAGATTACTGAAATAGGTACTCAGCAAATGTCAATTTAATGAATGGATGAACAAAAAATAAATTAAGGCCATTTCCCCTTTGCCAAAAGTTGCTATCATTCAAATAATGCTTTGGTACAGTAATGAACCTAAGTATTGTCCCTCTGTTTCTCCTGCTTCAGCCACACATGTGAAGTTGAAGTTCTTTGCCTCAGCAGAAGGGTAAACTGCACTTTATAGTGTGAGTGTGCAAAGTTTTCAGCCCTTTAGGGTACAAGGCCCTAAAGTTAGGTTCCCAGGACCCTTAAAAAATAAAGAGAATTCAAGACTTCTCCACAGGGAGTAACTAGAAAAGACTGGTAACATGTCTCACATACCCTAGGCTATATTTTTCATTGTCCCTAAATTCAAAGAATTGGGCATGAAGGCACCTGAATGAAGCTCATGATACATTCTCCCTTAACAATTTCTCTTAGAAAAGAATGCAAATTTTAATCCTGGGCTTCCTCTAGCCACACTTAGGTCTGGATATAAAATGCCTATAGCAAACAGGATGACCAACTATTCTGGTTTTCCTGGAACTGAGAGGGTTCCTAAAATGCAAGAATTTCAGTGCTAAAACTGGCATAGTTGCAGGCAAATAGGAAAGTTGATCATCCTAAATTGGCAAATACCATGAGCCTTCACGCCAATTCCCCAGTAAAGACACATTTAAGCCAATCCAGTTAGTAACTCTAGGCTTTTTAGGTGGTCAGCACAAGTATAAAAGTGTCTGTTAACCATCTTCCTTCCCCCTTTTTTTCTGGACTGTAACATTTCTTTAGTTAGGGATCTCAAACCTTACCATGCAACAGAATCACCTAAAAGGCTGGTTAATTTCATAGATCTGAGGTAGGGCTCAAAAATTTGCATTTCTTACAAGTTATCAGGTAATAATGACACTGGTCTGGGGACCTAGCTTTGAGAACCATTGCTTTAGAAGTTTGGCATATTACTACCTTCTTCTGAGATTAACGTGTAATCAAAAAAGAAAACAAGTCAATTGGAAGCATGAAGGCATGAATCAATAATATAAAATACAGACTATTTTAAGATTCAGTCTTTTTTTTTTCATTTCTTAAGCACTTTTCAGTGGTGAGCACAAATTTTAAAAAATCTTAACATACAAAGTTTTAAATATAATATAAAAGGTTCTAACTTGCAGGAAAGTTTTTGCTGAGATGTGGGGGAGTTCTCTATTATTGGATATACTTTAATGACTGTGATTTCCCTATGGAAAAGTGAGCACAGGGTAGCACAGTTCTGGAGACATTTGGTTCCTCTTCTGTGTACTCAAAACTAACAGCTGAAGTATACTTTATACTACCTCTGAATCATAGTTTCACAATTATCATTCTCTCTGACATACTAAACAGGAAAAACAAAAAGTACATTTTGAATATTACAGTCTACATTTCTTTCAACCTATGCAAACTTTTTAATGTAACAAAAAATACAAAAGCAATTCCAGATTGTAAATTTGCATTCAATTTTATGCCCAAATTCTGCTTTTGGAAACACCTACCACTGCCCCCATCAAAACACAAATTTTGCCTTAAACTGTGGAATTATGTTCTTCACCTTCAAAGAAAGGTTCCTGGCTGTCCTCATTTAGGTGTTATATTTGACCTAGGAGAAACTAAACTATAGTGGTTTAATAGCAGAATTTAAAACCCATATCTATAAAGGTTTCTAGGGAAATGGGTCTGAAACAGAAAAAACAAAAAACTTTACCATTTTGATGAATAAAGTAAATTTTTAAATGGCCTAATTTCAGAAACTAGGTTTCAATAGTAACAATTTTGTTTTTGTTCCCAGCGTTCTGGTGGTGCCCTTGCCATTCCCTTGTGTGCATTCCAGGGGACTGTGTCTCTCCAAGCACCTACAGGGAAAACCCTATCTCTTTCTACCTATGAGGTAAGTGCTGAAGGACAAAAGATAACCCCAGCCTCTAAGAAAATAGAAGTCTATCGATCCAAAAGTGTTGGCCATGAACCAAACTCAGAAGATTCTCCCTCCACATTTGCGGACACCAGTGTGAAAATACACTTGGAAGTTCTTGAAATTTGTGATAACGAAGAAGCCTTGGATACCGTGTCAATCATTAGCAACATCAGCCAGTCCTCTACACAGGTCAGATCTCCATCCCTACGCTACTCGAGAAAAGAAAACAGATTCGTTTCTTGTGATTTAGGGGAAACAGCCTCATACTCTCTCTTCTTACCTACAAGTAATCCTGATGGTGATATCAACATCTCCATTCCGGACACTGTTGAAGCACACAGGCAGAACAGTAAAAGGCAGCATCAAGAGAAGGAAGGCTACCAGGAGGAAATCCAGTTGTTAAATAAAGCTTACAGAAAAAGAGAGGAAGAAGGCAAGGGTAACTTGTGATCATTTGGTCTAATAAAGGCAAGAACGAATCTGCAAGTTCAAACTACTTAACGATTTTGTTCTGAGGCTATTTGATTTCCTTTATAACCTGTTGGTTTACATAAGCATTACAGATTTAGTAGTTAATTGTTTTTAGGAGGAGCAGCTAGAACTAGTGTAAACACTTAAGTGCTTTTGATGTATTACCTGTAGATCACACACTGTGGTATTTAAAGGTTTGTTTCTTATCTGATTCCTAGGCTGTTTTCTAGATCAAATATCAGCCTCATATACTAACGTTTTTGCCTCTTTGTCATCTTCAGAGTAAACAGAAAGTTGTATAAATTCAATAAATATATTATTACCATTCTCATGTTTCAACACATAATACTAGACTTTACTGCAAAGGATAAAAAGATATTTTGGGAATGGAAGAAATGTAGCAAAATTCTGAGTTGTATTAGAAGAGACTTGCCTACATGTGCCTAGCAAAAGAAGCTCATTACAGTTAACTGCTTTAGCTTTACACTGATGTCTAGAAAATATATTCTCATGTAAAATGGCAAACTAGCTAGCTTCTATCTTTGAAACATGCATGTCCATAATCTGTAAATAGTTGTTTCCTTCATTTCCATAAAATATGAATTGCTTACTAAATGTTTTTCTTCCTTTCTAAAATGTATTTTCCTTTCATCTTTTTACTATGTCAAGACTGCCCTTGAAACAAAATGTTGTGTGTTATAAGCGGAATTAGTAGTCCATAACTAAAATATTATTGGAAAAGGTTGTATATGTACACATCATCATTTCTAGAATTGTTTTACTTTAATGGAAATTGGGGAAAAACACTGCCAGATTAAGTTCCGTGAGGGATGCTCAACTAGATTAACAAATTTCCAGGTAAAGCAGAGGAAAATCCACTAAGTAAAAAGTAAAACTGTATGTTTCTAAAGCTGCAGATTTGGCAAACCTTCTTAGCTATTCTTAAAGGATAGAAAATTTTAGTACAAATATTGTCCTAAGTTTAGGTACTTTTTGGTTTTTTTCTCAAAGATGTGTATCTCAAGAAAATTCAATACATATTATTAAATGAGTGTAAGATATACATTTCAAGATTAATTTTTAAATGTGTTACATTGCAAAAATGTAGGAATCACCTTGTCCAATTATTAGTAATGTATATCTCAAAAACTATAGACTAATTTGTTTCTTAAAAATGGTTTATTCTGATCTTTCTTCAAACATACATTAAATGTATTACTTCAGTGTTTATTTTCCAAAGTTATTGAGTTGACATTCTACATGGTATTTAACTGTGCAACACATCTTACATATCTTATTTACTACAGACTGAGTGAATTATTCTTTTAATGATTTATTTTGGTTTCTATTTTATATTGAATCAGAATTCTAAATTATTTGAAATGGACTTTCAGACATTTCATCTCCAGAAGAGTTGGTTTTTTTTTTTTTTTTGGCCATCAAGAAGTCATTTTCAAAATAATTCTCTCAGTGGACTTTATCTCTCATGTAATCTCTCAGTATCTCATCTTCTGAATTTGGGAACCAAATGTAATGCAACTAGTAATGTTTGTAAAACAAGCCTCAAATAATGTATAACACATAAATTCAAATTCAAATATATTACCATTACAAATATATTTTATTTATTTATTTATTTATTTATTTATTTATTTATTTATTTAAATATATTTTATTTTAAGAGCCTTTTTATAACCCTAAAATTGAGGGCTATTTTACCATCATGACAAATGGCCAGATCAATCAAATATTATAAATTTATGGCATTAAATGCCTGTTATAAAAGTAAAGTTGAACTGAATATTCTAATAATGCTTTGTAAAAGGTAAGTTTTGATATATTAAATTTAGGTGTATAATTTTATGAAAAAGAAAGATGATTTTGTTGCTTTTGAGTACAATTTCTGTCAGAAAGGAAATTAGAAACAGAACCACAATAAAACTTAAAAAAAATAATAAAGATTTAAATACAAATAAATCCTTTCTAGCTGGCACAGTTCTTTAATGCATAGGAGAAGACAATGGAAATCAATATTTAAAGAGCACCAGAACTGGATTGGAAAACAGTAATACTGTGCTTTCCTCCTGTGTTCTATTTTCTTTTCACTGGACTTGGGCCTATGCTAGGAGAACTGGCAAAACAAAACAACACAAACAAAAAAAACAAAAACAAAAACAAAAAACCTACAATATTCCCATTTAATTGCCCTTAGCTGCTGAATTAACTGTACACAGACGCATGTAAAAGTTGTGCTGTATTGACACATTAGTTCAATTATTTAGCCCAAAACCTTAGTTTGAGAGGCTAATCAGCATCATTATACTATTCTGTAATACTTCAAACTCCAATCCAATTATAGTTGAAGCCACAAGAAAAATCAACAGGGGCTGTGCCTACGCAGGAATATCTCCTCCCAAACCAAGAGCACACTGTATACACTGTATGTTAGCCAACTTGACTATAAATTATACTGTAAAAAAAAGAAAGAAAGAAAGAGTAAGGTTAAACTATATCAGTATAAACTCTACCTACTCTTTAAAACAATTATGATTGCATGGGGCGCCTGGGTGGCTCAGTTGGTTGGGCATCCGACTACAGCCCAGGCCATGATCTCGTGGCTCCTGAGCTCCAGCCCCAAGTCAGGTTCTGTGCTGACAGCTCAGAATCTGGAGCCTACTTTGGATTCTGTGTCTCCCTCTCTCTCTGCCCCTCCCCTGCTTGCACTCTGTCTCCCTCTCTCACAAAAATAAATAAACGTTAAAAAAAAATTTTAAGTGATTATGACTGCAAAAATGTATTTCTGGCATAGGAAATACCCTTTTAGATATCTTGTGCTATATTTAAATAGCTTACTCTGTTATACTGTTATTATTAATAAATTCAATATTTCATATAGTTTATTTCTTTCCTCTATAAATTCATGAATCTGAATTCAAAAACTACTTATTATCTAATAAAAATATCACCATCTGGTGGTGACTCCTACAAACTGTAAATACATAATCCCTAAGACTCCCAGTTAATATAAACCCACATATAATCCCAAAGAGTTCCAAGAGTTGTGACTGACAGAGGCAACCATTTTGAAGACAGTAACCATCACAGTATTACTCAGAATGTAATAAAAACCATTTGGTTATGCAGTGTTTCAAAGCTTTTCTCAACGTGGTTTTTAGTATTGGTTTTCATAAACAGATTTTCTCTTAGTTTCTTATTTATTCTATTAAGTTACTTTGATTCATTTATTGTAACATTATATCATTATAGCATATAGAATGCCTGCTATATGCTAGAAATTGTTCTAGGTACTTAGGACTATGACTGAACAAAAACAACGCACACATACACACTCACACATATATGTACATTTGTATGAGTTTGAACCAATTGCAAATTTAGAGAACACAGTCCACATAAGACTTCTCTCACTTCTGACTCCAAATGCAAATTTAGGGTATCCCAAAACCACTATCAGTTTCAATAATTAACTGCAGCCAACAGATCTCACAGAAAGCTGTATTCTCACAGTTACAGTGCATTTCAGGGAAAGGATACAGATTAAAATCAGCCAAGAGAAGAATCACATATAGCAAAGTCCAGGAAAAGTCTAAATGTGAAGCTTCTGTTATCCTCTCCCCATGGAGTCATAGATAGCATTACTTTCAGCATCAGCGTATGATAACATATAGGGAATACTGCCAACAAGGAAAGCTCATTTGAATCCTGGCATCCAGAGTCTTTACTGGGGCTCCATCATGGTAGGGGTAGGGTAAAGCATGGTTGACAGCTCACATGACTAATTTCTAGCTCCTCAGGAAGTCAAGCTGATAAGGAATGACCCAAAACCCCTACTGTAAATCACACTGTTACTATTTGGCTGCTCCAAGGCACCCAGACAAACAAGATAGATAGATAGATAGATAGATAGATAGATAGATAGACAGACAGACAGATAGATCAGGTAATGCTAAATGTATTGATAGAAAGTAGGTACCAGAGGTAAAAATGATGAGGAAAAAAAATGAAAATAAAGGGACAGTGATGGAAGGAGTGTTTTTTCAAATACTTTAGTTAGGAAACACTTCACTGATAACATACTATTTCATCAGAGAGTTAAATAAAGTGATGAAACATGCTGTGTATCTAGTGAAATCATAGTTCTATCCAAGGGAGCATCAAGTTTCCAGAAGTAGGAGTATGCCTTTTGTATTTGACGAAACCATCCAGGAGGTCAATGTGAATGCAGAAGAGTGAGAGAAAAAGTAGTTGGAAATAAAGACAAATAAAAGCACAGAGAGGCAGACCATTAATGCCTTGCAGACCAGGTATGGACTTTGAATCTTTTTCTAAATGAGGTGGGAAGTGATCGGAGGGTTCTGAGCAAAGAAATGACACATTTGATTACAAAATCACAAATGACCACTGTCTGTTGTTGTCAAGGGGAAAAGGCGATACAAGTACAAATACGATTACAGAACAAACAGGAGGTTATTTTAATAGTCTGGGTTAGAGATGATATTTGCTAGAATTAGGGTGGTAGCAATAGAGATGGTGATGGTATTGTATTCTGATTCAATAAATAGGAAGGATTTCCTTGGTAACTACCTAAGTTACACATTCCTTTAAAAAAAGTTTTTTTCATTTATTTATTTTAGAGAAAGAGTGCGCATGTGAGCTGGGGAGAGGGGCAGAGGGAGCAGAGAGAATCCCAAGCAGGCTCCATGCTGAGCTGATGCAGGGCTCAATACCATGACCCTAGGATCATGACCTGAGCCAAAATCAAGAGTTGGACGCCCAACTGACTGAGCCACCCAGATTCTCCACTTACATTTCTTAAATGTTTTTCTATGGAGCCTGTAATTTGAGGTAAAAAATTACCTCTGGCATCTATTTTCTGTTAATACCTTGGAATATCCCAGTGTTTCTAATGTCCTCCACATATCACAGAGGCTAGAAGCCTGAAAACTACATTTTCCAGT